ATGAAGCCTGCCTAGCAGTAGAAGGTCAGGTCAGTTTTTCTAGCGTTGGGCTGGCTCCCTGTGAGACAGGATATCTACAGTCTCACAAGCCTCAAGTGAACCAAATAAGGAAGAGCCACACCTCAGCCATTCCATTCTAGTGAAAATCCACTCTATTTTTATGAAGGTCAAGAGAAAGAGTCCAGAATTTTTCCTACTAACGGCTTCCTGTACCCCATCTAGTGACTCTCACTGTTCAGAAATTCTTACTTAAATCATTCTCACTATGGCTAAAGCACACGTCCCCTTCTCTGCTGTCAAAATGCTCCCCCAAATGTACATTCGGGTGAGAAAATAAACGAAGAAAATAATTGTCGAGTAGCAAGGATATGACAACGAGACTTGGGGAGTTCGCTGACCATAAAACATACTCTGCCCCCCATATCTGGTTATAGCATCCTCCAGAAGAGGCAGCTCCAAGACTGAGATGAGGATGTCTTCTCTCATTTTGATGAAGGCTTTTTTTCTTTTTGAGACAAAGTCTTGCTCTGTTGTCCAGGCTGGCGTGCAGTGGTGTAATCTTGGCTCACTGCAACCTCCGCCTCCCAGGTTCAAGTGATTCTCCTACCTCATCTTCCCGAGGAGCTGGGATTACAGGCGTGCACCACCATACCGAGCTAAATTTTTTTTGTATTTTTAGTAGAGGTGGGGTTTCACCATGTTGGCCAGGCTGATCTCTAACTCCTGACCTCAAGTGATCCACTCTTGTTGGCCTCTGAAAATGCTGGGATTACAGGTGTGAGTCACTGCATCTGGCCTGATGAAGGCTTTTTTAAAAGTACATTTCCAACTGGTGGAAACAATTTTGGAAGACAGAGCAGAAGATGCTCTCTGCGGGCTGAACTGGAGGGCAATCTGTCTATGCAACCTGCATGTGTCCACAACCAAGGCTGCAGGCATGCTCTGTGGTTAAATGCTCACGTCATCTTCCAGCTGCTTTTAAGTGGAATTTCAGGACTTAAGGAGCTACCTGGTAAACATGTGGGTGTCAGGAAATTGCCTGTGGATTTAGGGATGAGCCTCTCGAATATTAATTCCTAGTATGTCACTCTTGACTGCCCTCCCCTACTGTGAATAACGTGTGATATTCTCAGAGCAACAGAGGATTTGGAAGCACAGATTTCAGTTGGTAATTTCAAAATGCTATATGGAATAAACATGAAACATTAGGATGACAGTCATTTTTTTCTCTGCAACCCAGAGGAGGGAAATATTATGCTTGGAGTGGCCGAGTTTACAGTGCTGCCTGAAATTATCTGTGTGGTTGTCTGCTACTGCATCCTCCTGGCAAGAGGCAATTGGGGAGTCGGTTTGGATGCCATCAGCTTTCTTGCCCGACATTGATGCCACAGAAGCTTCTCTGCTTCTGAAGATCTGAGGTGTAGCCTTTGATGAGCCTCCTATCCTCACAGTGGCTAAAAACTAACCTCCCCCATCCACTCCATCTTATTAATATCTTTCAGTCAGTCACCCTCATGCCAACCCATTTACTTATCTGGGGGAGAGAAACACTTGCTCTAAACCTGACTCGCCGTGTTACAAACCTTGTCAGGTCAATGTAGGTGCCTTTTCCACCCATCCCCTCCCCCTACAGCTCCAGGTCAAAAGATCAGGAAAGGCATTGCTTTGTCTAAGGCTTACTACAAATATTCTGAAATTATTCTTAACAATATCGGTCTCAGTGTTTAATATATTGTGATGACTAAAGTATAAATGAACCTGAAGGCTACCACTCTCTGAATGTAAAATATGAAAGAGTTTAGGTCAAACGTTTTATTAAAAACTTAGAGCTGGGTCCAGAAGAGCTAGAAAATCCAGATTCCCTTTAGAGAGGATACCGCCCAACAGATAGAGTCCCGGGCAACAGAATTTTGCAGAGGAGAAAAAAAGAGTGATAGATTCAAGCTGCCTTTCATTCACTAGTTTTAATGTTGTTTCTCCAAGTTTTGCTAAAGCCCATTCTGCAATTAAATTTAGAATCTTTCCATATATATAAATATAAATATATATATATGTATTTAGCTTAACACACATGAACACTATCTATCTATCTATCTATCTATCTATCTATCTATCTATCTATCTATCTATCTATCATCTATCTATACATAGATACACATACTATCAATACCTAGCCAAATAGTGTGTGTATCTATGTATAGGTAGTGTGTATATCTCTCAATGTACAGATAGTGTGTGTATCTACAGATAGACAGGTGTGTGTGTGTGTGTGTGTGTGTGTGCATGAAGCTACATTCCCTGTGAAGCAACTGGTACTCTGGCAAGAAGTCTTTGGGGGAAGTAGTGCCAAGGCATCTTAGGGTTTATCCATTCTTTCATTCAACAAGTCTTTACTTAGTGACATTACGTGCCTGACCCTGGGCTAGGTACTGGGGATACACCATGATGCAGACACAGACCTAGCTCTCAAACTGTCGGGGGCTCCAGGAAGCGGTAACAAGTACACAACCAATGACAGTGAGGCGTGGCCATCTCATAAGAAAGGAACTCAGGACAGACTAGTCGGAGGGGGTCAGGGAAAGCATTGGTGGGGGGTATCTTCCAAGTTGTGAAATAAAGACCTAAGAGACACCAGCCAGGTCCAGGATGTGGGGGTGTGGGAAGGAGCATGTTCCAGGAAGAGAGAATAACACGGGAGGTCTGTTCTATAAAGCGGTGGGAAAAACATGAACTTCTCTCGTTTGTCTAATTCAACATTTTCTTGATTTTATAGGGTTGAGGGTAACTGTTCCCAAACTGCGCACATTAGTAATTAAATCTATTTCTTTCTCAAAGCAGGCTGGCCAAGAGATAGTTTTTGAACTGCCATTTGAGATCTCATTTCCTATCCCAGAAGGTGGCTTCTTTCTAAACCTCCAAGCTTCGATTCAGGAAAAGCATGTAAAATACACCAGACCACTTGCCTATAAACTCTTTACACTGACTCTTGGCAATTTGAAGCTTCGAATGTTTCTCAGTTAACGATTCTGCTAATTAATGAGATCTCACTCAATTTGATGGTTTCCCTTTATTGCCTCACTCTTCCAAATTCAAACCACAAATTTGACTTTTAATGACTTTAGGCCATGGAATCGAGCCTAAAACGGCCATAATCTAAAATGCAGGAGACCCCTGTATATAGGGATACGTTAATCACAGCATTTATTTGTAATAGTGGGAAAATTTTTTTTTTTTTTTTTTTTTTTTTTGAGGCGAAGTCTCGCTCTGCCGCCCAGGTTGGAGTGCAATGGCCGGATCTCAGCTCACTGCAAGCTCCGCCTCCTGGGTTCACGCCATATATACTCAAATGGGGGCATGATTAGATAATAATTGTATATCAATTTCTAGAATTTATGCAGCTGTTCCCGAAAATGACAATTTACAGTCACTTAGAAAATGTTAGTGAAAGACAATGGTAAGTGGAAAAATAAGATATGCAGAATTATACATATACATTTCTTGTATGATTACAGTCATGTGTAATAACAGTCATGACTGTAATCATACAAGAAATATAAATATGAAAAATGCTGGAAAGAAATCCACCAAAATGAGAACAGCACTTGGATTATTAGTGTTATGTGCTTATGAGCCTTTTTTCTATTTTCTGTTTCCTATATTACATTTATAAAGCCTTTATTATTTGAATCCTATTAAAAGTATTAACGCAAAGTCCGCAGTTTGAACACTTTCAATTCCAAGCAGCATGTACAAGGCGACACGAGACAAAAGTGTCTACATGTGAATTTCCCCTTTGAAGTATCATCACTTCCCCCATGAGCAGGTGGCATCCTCTCAATCCACTGATAAACTGCAGCTCCTTCACAGCTAAATGTGATCGAAAGTGAGACACAATGCCCTAGGACCCGGAGATAGACATCTAAGAACAAACAGCAAGCAAATGTAATAAAAATTGGCATTGAACAACAGATCTGGAATGGTAAACTTTTTAAGTCAGAGTTGGAGACACCATTCTTTAGAGCTTTGGGTCAAACAATGGTCTGTTTAAGAACAAGTTGAAAAAGACGAGGGTGTATGATTCCAATTACTTCTCCAACTTTGCTGACACTGATGTGTTCTTAGTTGGAATTAATTGATTGATTTCCTGCATCTCAGTTTCTCCAGATGCTCACAAGTGATGCCAATGTCAACCTATGGGATGGGGTGAGAAGGGGGTTGCTTAGCACTTAGAAAGAGGACAGAGATTTTTCCTCTTTAATCTCAACTGGAAAAGAAAAGAAAAGAAAAGAACAAATCTTTATGCCAGGCACGGTGGCTCACATCTATAATCCCAGCACTTTGGGAAGTCGAGGTGGGCAGATCACCTGAGGTCAGGAGTTCAAGACCAGCCTGACCAGCATGGAGAAACCCCGTCTCAACTAAAAATACAAAAAATTAGCAGGGCATGGTGACATATGCCTGTAATCCCAGCTACTCGGGAGGCTGACGCAGGAGAATCACTTGAACCTGGGAGGCGGAGGTTGCCGTGAGCCAAGATCGTGCCACTGCACTTCAGCCTGGGCAACAAGAGCGACACTCTGTCTCAAAACAAAACAAAACAAAACAAAAAAACAAAAAGAGCCAAATCTTTTTCTATTCCCTCTGAGCAAGGAAGACTAAATCAATTTTAGTTACAGCAAGAGCTATTTAGGTTACATTGTAGTTAACTCCTTCTAGGCAGAAAGAATAGCTAATGGCATTGTGGAATTTCCTTTTCTAGAAATTTGTAACAATAGGCTAGATGTACATCTGGCCTTGGATGCCTTAGGCTGGTGTACAGACACAACCAAAATAGCACACACACAAAACACCCTGGTGTGTTCTAGTCATTCTCTCACAGATATTAACACACAGAGATTTAAAAGCAGTTTACCATATCCCCCTTCATCCCCTGCTGGATCAAGGTCTGAAACCACATCGGTTGCCAAAGAAACTCAGAAAATTGACCAAAAGTGATTTACCTGTACTAGGAGTTCCAGCTTCCTGTCATCAAGAAGATGTACTTGACATCGGCGGCCCTCCGTCATCTAAGAGGGAAGAGAAATGGTAATCACTGAGAGTCTAGCAGCCAGACAAAGGGTTAGAGGGTTGCCGACGCTGCGCTCTGCTAGGCATATTCCTCTGGACAAAACTTCCTATGGGAGTCGGCACTGTATAATGCCAGGAATTGGAAATATCAGTTCGTTCAATCATTCCAGAATATCTATTGAGGCCGGGCACGGTGGCTCATGCCTGTAATCCCAGTGGGTGGATCACCTGAGGTCGGGAGTTTGAGACCAGCCTGACCGACACGGAGAAACCCTGTCTCTACTAAAAATACAAAATAAGCTGGGCGTGGTGGTGGGCACCTGTAGTCCCAGCTACTCGGGAGGCTGAGGCAGGAGAATTGCTTGAACCCAGGAGGTGGAGGTTGCAGTGAGCTGAGATCATGCCACTGCACTCCAGCCTGGGCAACAAGAGTGAAACTCCATCTCAAAAAAAAAAAAAAAAAGAAGAAGAAGAAAATATCTATTAAGCACAGCCAGGCACTTTTCTGGGAGCTAGGTGTACTGCGGCACACGAGACAAAGTTCCCATCCTCATGAAGCTTATATTCTAATAAGGGAGATGTAAAACAAACTAGCAAATACATATATAACATATTCTCAGGGGTGGTAGGTGTTGTTCATTCTTTACTTAGTCTTCCATTCAATAATTGTACCCGCATGCATTAGGGACGGAGCTCAGGATCCAGTCTCTGCCTCCTCTTCATTTATCCCACGTGCTGGTATCCAGAAAGCAGATGACCACCCACCTGGCAATGAATTTGATTTCTGTGTTAGTTAATCAGCCCCCTTCTTGCATATGACCTGATTCCCTACAGTGCTGTAACCAATAATAGAAAAGCACTGGAGACAAGAGCCCACAGGCAAATCCAACCCCTGTCCCTTGTGCCTTTCAGGACTGAAATCTCTGAGGGGTATAACAGAAAGCCTGGGAGACCCAAGTCTAGTCTTGGCCCTGCTGGTTACAAGGGGCTGCAGGACTCCGGACAAGTCACCGTTCATCTCCATGCCCCTGTCTCATATACAAAAATAAATGGACTGAGTCCACTGGGGTACTGGTGAATGTTTAACAACTGGCTTTCTGGAAGGCAAAAGCCAATTTGTAGCATTTGCTGGAGCCTGGGATCACCCTCCAAGGAAATCCTTTGAAGAACAACGCTTCTCATGGATGTCAACTGGTGACCGTTCTAACCATAAATTGTCTTGCTGCACTCTAAATACCTTCATCATGTCTGATTTCAAGCTACTGTCATGACAACACTGCTAGGAATTCCAACATACAGATACAACAGACAAATATAACCTCAGCTCATAGAAAACAGGTAAGTGCCGTAAAAACAATTAGGAAGGGATAGTTTTTTTGGTTTTTTTTGTTTTTTTTTTGTTTTTTTGAGACAGAGTCTTGCTCTGTCGCCCAGGCTGGAGTTCAGTGGCGCGATCTCGGCTCACTGCAAGCTCTGCCTCCCAGGTTCACGCCATTCTCCTGCCTCAGCCTCCCGAGTAGCTGGGACTACAGGCGCCCGCCACCACGCCTGGCTCATTTTTTGTATTTTAATAGAGACAGGGTTTCACAGTGTTTGCCAGGATGGTCTCGATCTCCTGACCTCGTGATCTGCCCGCCTCAGCCTCCCAAAGTGCTGGGATTACAGGTGTGAGCCACCACGCCCGGCCGGGATAGATTTTTATTACCTTTGTTTGTTAGCGCCATGTGTTTAAGCCTGTGTATAGAATTTCATTTTAACAATGGCTATGCTTTACAATTGGCACCCTGCATTCCTGAAAATGCAGCAGTTGGCTCTCACAGACTAGTATGAAATAGCTCCAACACGACTGTCTGGACCAGATGACACGTAAGTTTCCTTCCTTGTACTTCTTTAGAGGAAATCCTTTAGAGAACTCAACGCCTATTTTATATGACTCTAGAGTCCCCACTAAATACAAGTTCTTTTCCCCAGCTAACTGGCCACTTTAAGCAGATCTAAAGAAAGGATGCGCATGAGCAGATCCTGGCCTTGTCTCCTTGTCCAGCCACGAGGGTCCTTCTCATAAACCTTTCCTCCAGGAAAGATAAAAAAGACAGTCTCAGATGAGACACAGTCTTGCCTTTACACACTTAGCACAGTGCCTGGCCCTAAGGGAGCTCTTTTTTTAATTTTTTTTTTAGACAGAGTCTTGCTCTGTTGTCCAGGTTGGGGTGCAGTGATGCAATCTCAACTCACTGTAACTTCCACTTCCCAGACTCAAGTGATACTTCCACCTCAGCCTCCTGAGTAGCTGGGACTACAGAACAGTCTCGTTTCTCTCATGCGCCACGGGACGTACCAACTCTCCAGGCTAAAAATAACCCTGACATTTCTCAAGGCCTGTTAGGTCTGGAGCTGCTATCCCGACGAAAATGAGCGTCTCTGCAAATGGAAGCAGGTGGCGGCACAGTCGCGGGCCGAGGGTGCCTACTGCACTCACTGCTCAGTCCCACCCAGTGGCCAGCCGGCCTGCGTCCTTCATGACCCTCTCCTTGACCCTCAGCTCCTGGTGACCGGGAGTTATGGACTGGATTGTGTTCCCCTAAAACTCATATGGTGAAGCCCTAACCCCCAATGTATTTGCAGGCAGGGCAAGATTAAATAAACAACAAAAAAAGACAGTCTCTTTTCTTCTGGTTCAACAAGGATTATTCACTAATTGTCAACATATCCAAAGCTGTCATGAAATCCTATGAGAAAATCATCTTATTCCCTCCTCTAAAGAAGTCATCCCATATTCCCATCAAGTCAGGTTACCCTTGTTTTGGGATCTAACTCAACACAGCATGTCCTGCTTACACGGGGGCTAATCTCAACGTCTCTTGATTCTGAGTTACAACAATTACTCAGCAGCCCCCAGCTCTGAGAAAAATCAAGAAAAGTTTCACATATTCATAAGCCCTCCAACGAACAGATTAAAAACAGAGGAAAAACTTCAACCCAAAGCCTTGCCATTCTGCACATATAAGTCAAAGCAGGCCACTGTGGACATTTGATGGGTCTATGCAAAGTCCTTATTCACCTGTTGAACCCTTAACTGCAGGTATTAATTGCCTTAGCAGGAAAACGGGCTCAAGTCCTGTTAGAATCCATCAACCTTGCACAGAGTAAGCATCTTCACTGATTGACTTAATTTTTAAAAACCCATCAGCTTCCTTTCAATCATTCCCTAAGTTCAATGAAAGCCATTACAATTTTAAATTAGACTGAAATAGGTGCTGCTATACCAACATGTATAAATGATTCCTTCTTCAAAAAAGTACATCAGAAATGTTAATTTCAAGTTTCAATAGGGCAGATAATAGCAATTGCACGGGTACTTTAGATAAAGTTTTCGAGCTACACTGATTCAGTTCTCATTAGAAAGAACCTAAGGTTAATAGAGTAAAAGTTTTAAGAAGGAAAATGGTATCACATCCAGAAAGTTCCATGAAATTCTTTTAAAACTTTAGTCATAGATTTGAGAAAAGTCTCGACTGAGAATAGGGGAGAGTTTTAAGGAAGAAATGCTGTTTGTTTTCTGCATTATAAAACAGTTTTGAGCTTCATTTTATCATAAAAGGTTAAGGGTGTAAACATGCTCTTGAGTTACTTAATCACAGTCTAATAAATTTTATGAAAACAAACTGGTATCTGAAAGACATTATTGGATCAAATAAAGTTTTAATCTCAGTAATAAAGAAGATGAAATGTATCATTTTCTCGAAATATTTCCAAGCTCACAAAGTTCACACTCACACTTAAAGGTCTTCCCTGAGGTTCTCATTTTCATCTGAAAAAAATAATCCTCATTACGTAAAACAATCTCACCTTATCTGCTCAGCAATTTAAGGAAGTAACTATGTATCATGATGTTAGTATCCACCCTAGGTCTTCCAATTTCTTTCCTCTTCCCAACAGTCATTCCTGGGAAATTTACAAACATACTCCATATTTTAACGCCTCCCTGTAGAAAGCAAAATGTCTCTGCAAAGAGTCAGCACAGAGAAGTGTCTCAACAGACTCACCTTTGAATCATCATGTTTTTGAAGGTACAACTTTCTTTTGACAGCACTGCTGTGGTTTATTTTTCAAAAGCGAGCACCTGCCTGTTGTTCCATACTCAAGTAAGGTTAGAGTATCTTGTTCTTACCATCAGTTCAGAAAAGCTTCACCATTCTGGGTGTGCACAAAGAATTGACATCTGTAGCTTTGTCTGACTTGCCAGGTACACTGAAATTTTCTTTTTAATACTAACAATTCTGAAATAATACTGCTTTCCCTTGTTTTGTTTTGTTTTGATTTTTTCCTTTCCAGCTGTTCAGACACTACTGGAGCCCTGGCATCACCCTCAAAGGAAATCCTTTAGAGAACAAGGTTTCTCATAGTTGTCAACTGGCGACCATTCCAATAACCAATTGCCTTGCTACAATACAATTCTAGCCCACGCAGAGGCCTGCCAAGTGCCCTGTGATTCTAAAGGAAATATGAAAAAGTGTTATTTTGAAAGTGAAGTGTCTGCCCCAATCTATCCAACTTTGCTGCTAAGGTACACTCTGTCATGAAGACTGCGCAGAAACATGTAAACACATTTATGATACTAGCTTCAGTGACCACAGCAGACTATCATTGATATGTATCCTGGCCCGGCGCGGTGGCTCATGCCTATAATCCTAGTCCTTTGGGAGACCGAGGCAGGTGGATTACCTGAGCTCAGGAGTTAGAGACCAACCTAGGCAACATGGCAAAACCCCATCTCTACTAAAAATACACACACACACACACAAATTAGCCAGGCATGGTGGCACACACCTGTAGTCCCAGCTACTCGGGAGGCTGAGGCACGAGAATTGCTTGAACCCAGGAGGTGGCGGTTGCAGTGAGCCAAGATTGTGCCACTGTATTCCAGCCTGGGTGACAGAGTGAGACTCTGTCTCAAAAAATAAAAATAAAAAATAAAAATAAAAAAATATATTTATGTATCCTAATTGTCATGCACGTGGACAGGGATTAAGAGGCAAAAACAAAAATATGGGAATAGATATGCAACAGTATTAGGCTTCTGGGTGGTTTAGCCTACTCCACCTCATCCAAATATGACTTAACATGTTACTTTTTTTTTTTTCAGTTAAAAAAGTGTAAAAAAGAAATTTATCTAGAAAGATGAATGACCCTATTTGAGGTCAGGCATAGGAAATGGAGCACAAGCAGTTTCTTTCCCAGTAAATTTTGGATTGCCTATCTTTTTAACAAATAAAATTAAATGTTAACAGATAAATGAGAATGAGTTGTCATGTAAGCCAGAATACTTAAGATTGAACCCCTGACATATTCTCACACTGCAGACAGAATTAATGGGAAGCCAGGCCAGGCTCAGTGGCTCATGACTGTCATCTCAACTCTTCGAGAGGCCAAGGAGGGAGGATCATTTGAGGCTAGGAGTTTGAGACCAGCCTGGGCAACAAAGCAAGACCCCATCTCTACAAAAAAATTAAAAAATTAGCCAGGCATGGGGTGCACACCCGTAGCCCCATCTACTCCAGAGGCTGAAATAGGAGGACTGCATGAGCCCAGGAGTTGGAGGCTGCAGTGAGCTATGATCCTGCCACTGCTCTCCAGCTTGGGCGACAGAGTGAGACCGTATCTCTAAAAAAAAAAGAATGGAAAGTCCATTTTGACCAGAAGTACTTTTGAGAGCGCAGATTTTGGAAAGAAGGATTTATAAATACATATTTTTGAGGGTATCTGTCTGCAATAGCCTGATATATCATTAATGGCAGAAGGAATAATTGTTCATACGTACCAGGGGAGTCTCTGCTATGAGGCCTTACTAAAATAACTAACCAGCAATAACAAATGGTGATTTCAGGATGTCTTGTAATATGGAGAGGTGAAGGGTACCCAGATCAGAGGTGAAATTTAATTTTTCTGGTTTAGGTTTAAATTGGAAACAGTCATAAAACAGCAACTTCGGAACATTCTGCTGCCCATACCACACCGGGACGTGGAAAGTAACAGAATTCAAGGTTTGGCAAAGTCTTCTCTCTCTCTCTTTCTCTCTCTTTGTGAGATGGAGCCTCATTTTATTGCTCAGGCTGGAGTGCAGTGGCGCGATCTCTGCTCACTGCAACCTCCGCCTCCTGGGTTCAAGCAATTCTCCTGCGTCAGCCTCCCAAGTAGCTGGGATTACAGGTGACCGCCACCACGCCTGGCTAATTTTTTGTATTTTTAGTAGAGATGGGGTTTCACCATGTTGGCCAGGCTGGTCTCGAACTCCTGACCTCAGGTGATCCACCCGCTCTGGCCTCCCAAAATGCTGGGATTACAGGTGTGAGCCACCGCACCTGGCCTGCAAAATAATTTCTATGCCATGGTATATGCCTGTGCAGGAGTTGCTGAGAAGAAAGAATCCTAGTTCCACTGTTTAGAAGGTTTTTGTTTCATTTTGGTTTTTATTTATTTTTTTAAGACAGGGTCTTGCTCTGTTGCCCAGGCTGGTGTGCAATGGTGTGATCTTGGCTCACTGCAGCCTCAACCTCCTAGGCTCAATTGATCCTCCTGCCTTGGCCTCCCAGACAAATGCTGGAATTACAGGAGTGATCCACCACTCCCAGCTTACTTCATCTTTTTAAGCCTTGTTCCTTGTCTGTAGAAGAGGGATAGAATAGCTTCTACCTCATAGGAACTCTGCAATTATTAAATTAACTAATATTTGGAAATTTCTTAGTGCTGTATCTGGTACAAAGTATATACTCATCACAATGTTAGCTGCTAATTATTATCAGTTGTATGGTTTTGGAAATACTTAATATGTGTTGAACCCATAGTCCTCGTAAGACAAGAGGTAGATATTATCAGGCTCATCTTGTTTTATGTTATTTTTATAGACAGGGTCTTGCTCTGTCTCCTAGGCTGGAGTATAGGGGCGCTATCATAGCTCACTGGAGCTTTAACCTCCCAGGCTCAAGCGATCCTCCCACCTCAGCCTCCTGAGTATCTGGGACTACAGGCTCGCACCAGCATGCCCAGCTAACTGTGTTTATTTTTTGTAGAGACACGTCTCACTATGTAAATTCTTGGACTCCAGTGACCTCCCCACCTTAGCCTCCCAAAGTGCTAGGATTACAAGCATAAGCCACTATGCCTGGCCTAGAGCATTTTTATAGAAATGTAATGCAGTTGTGCAAATTGATCCTGAACCCAGGAAAAAACATGTGATTTTTAAAACAAAAACTAAAAAATAGTCAATTGACACATGTATTCTCTTAGTTTCCTGAGGCTAATTTACACTGAAACCATTACAGGGAAGACACTGTGGTGTGGGGCTGAAGGAGGGGATGGTGAGGGAGCAGAGCTGTTTAGTGAGATGTTCACAGACCTGCCAAAAAATTTTTTTAGTCTAGTTACCAATTGCCTACTCGTTGACGTCCCTGTGAAAAGCAAGCCATCAAGTTGTTTCTCATATTCATTCTTGAGACAATACATTTACAAGACAATAAAATAAGCAATATTAATGACTCACTAGAATTGCACAAAACAAAGAATTAACCTTCCAAGACACGCTTCATTTAGGAAAATTACCAATACTCCCCAAACCACCTGAGATGCTATCCTTTAAAACTTAGTCATCAGACAGAAAATGTAGATTTCAAAAGCCAAGGCCCTACCAGTGACTTACCGCTGACAGCACGTCTTCCCCGAGTACAGTCCCTTAAACTTCAACCACAAGACACCCTGAGGATGTCGGATGCAGGACAGCAGCTCCTCGTGATCTGACCTCTGACCCAGGCCGTTGTGTGGCTCAGAAGGAAATTCCAAGGCCATGACTACAACTTCCCGGCATAAGTCATTGTTGGTGCCCCCGGGTACTGGGTCACCTCAAGAGCCACATCTTTCTCTCTACTTCAGTTTCCTTCACAGGAAAATGAAGACTCAAAGTCCAATCTAGGTACCCAAATGTTGCAAGACCACAAAATCTCAATAATCATAAAGCACATCTCTGCCAGGAGGAGAGGAATGAATGCCACGCAGCTACAGCAACCTCAAGAAATTCACAGGAAATATACACATGGAAAGAAAGGACTTCAGGCAATTTAAAATTTGTTAAAAATATTAATCCCTGCACTGTAATCACAACACTTTGGGAGGCCGAGGTGGGCAGATCACTTGAGGTCAAGACAGCCCAGCCAACATGGTGAAACCTGGTCTCTACTAAAAATACAAAAATTAGCCAGGTGTGTTGGCATGCACTCGTAATCCCAACTACTGGGGAGGATGAGGCAGGAGAATCACTGGAACCCGAGAGGCGGAGGTTGTAGTGAGCGGAGATCACGCCACTGCACTCCAGCCTGGGCAACAGAGCGAAACTCTGTCTCAAAAAACAAACAATCAAAAATATTAGATACATACAGATAGTGTAATGGTTACTACCGTGAAGTTGGTTAATATATCTATCATCTCACATGGTTACCTTTTTTGTGGGATGAGAGCAGCTAAACTCTATTTATGTAACAAAAAATCCTAACAATACAATTTTAACTTTAGTCCTCATGTTGTACATTACATCTCTAGACTCGTTCATCCTCCTTATCTACTGTGGTTCTGTATATATCTACACATCTATAGGTATCCAAGAGCATTATGATGTAAAGTTCGAATATACACAGTCATATATATTTCGTTTGTTTGTTTTATGTTTTTGAGACAGGGTCTCATTCTGTGGTCCCGGCTAGAGTTCAGTGGCACGATCACAGCTCACTGCAACCTCTGCCTTCCTGGGACTCAAGAGATTCTCCCACCTCAGCCTCCCAAGTAGCTGGGATTGCAGACATGCACCTTCACACAGGGCTAATTTTTGTATTTTTGTAGATATGGGGACTCGCCATGTTGTCCGGGCTGGTCTTGAACTCCTGGGCTCAAGTAATCTTCCCACCACAGACTCCTAAAATTCTGGGATTACAGATGTGAGCCACCACTTGCAGCCCATATAGGTATATATGTAATATATATATAATATATAATATATAACATTATATAACATATAACAAATAATATACAATAAATAATATGTAATATATAATACACAATGAATATATAATATACAATTAACATATAATAAATAATATATGTTTATTAATTCATCTATCTGGGCATGGCGGCTCATCCCTGTAATCCCAGCTACCTAGGAGGCTAAGGCAGAAGGACTGCTTGAGCCCAGGAGTTCGAGACCAGCCTGGGCAACATAGTGAGACTCCATCTCAAAAATAAAATTCATCAATTCCCTGTCCACTCTTCACCTGCACCAGGAAAATAACACATATTACAACAGTGGGCAAGTGGGGGATCTGCCCAGAAACTTTAAAGGCCAAAGGCTAATTGTAATTTTTTAATAAAATTTTTAATACAAATTTTTATTTTATAAAAATTTTATATAATCATTTTTATTATCATTGTAATATGATTTTTATGATAATTATTCCCTCTGGTTTATCTGAAGCTTACTTTCGCTTGGTTCTCAAGTGATATCATATTGAAAGAAGATGACAATGCAAGGAAAGGAGACACAGGCACGAGACACCAGAAGCCTCATTCAGAGAGGATGACCTTGTTCCTGTGTTGCTCTATAACCTCTGGCAAACGATTCCACCTGTCTCTATTGTGACTCTCCTGGATCTAAAAGAACATACGCAGGTGTGGCCAGGCACGGAGGCTCACTCCTGTAATGCCAGCACTTTGGGAAGCAGAGGCAGGAGGATCCTTTGAGCTCAGGAGTTTGAGACCTGCCTGGGCAACATGGCAAAACCCAAAAACAAAAATATGAAAATTAGCAGGGCATGGTGGTGTGTGCCTGTAGTCCCAGCTACTTGGGAGGCTGAGGTGGGAGGATTGCCTGAGCCCAGGAAGCAGAAGTTGCAGTGAGCTGAAATCAGGCCTCTGCACTCTGGCCTGGGCAACCGAGTGAGATCCTGTCTCAAAAAACAAAAAGCAAAACACAGGCAGGTGGGTCCTTCAGGCTCTTGGCTGCTGGATACAGTTAGATGCAGCTCATACACCACATGGAAGTTATTAAGTGAGTGGCTCTATCAGAAACAAATTAACATGACAATGTTGATGTAATAGAAGATGGAAATAGCGATGCATTCTTCAAAGCTCAACCCTCTGTGGGTTTGCACTTGAAGTCATAACCCGGGCTGGCGTTTTACTTGTGGATCTTTGAAAAGCAAATCCTAGTGGCTCTGCTGCTGCTGCTCCTGCAGCAAAAGGAAATTCGGTTTTCTCTGATAATGCAAAAGAGAAGTCCTGGTGTGGGGACCCAGTGGTCTATGTGATTCAAGCCGCAAGTCCTCCAGGCCGAGCAATTAGCCATCTCCACATGACGCTACAGGGCAGCGTGTCAGAAAATATTAATCATCAGTATCTGGGCCTAAAGTGTAGATGATGAGGCATGGACTCAGGCAGGTAAGAGGCTGGTACAACAGGGAGCTCTCCTGGGGGCGCTACGGCATCCTGCTGAAGAGGAACTCCTACCCACAGCTCAGTTGTGTGATGTGGGGAGGTGGGGTGCGCCTTCCACCTGCCAATCAAACAAGCTAATGGTGTGGACAATGGACAGGTGCGATGGATGTGGAAGGCCAAGATTCTGCTGGGGCGGGTCCACAATCACCCTCCTCATGCCTGGCAGCCAACACTCTGACTACAATGACAAGGGCAGATGGACGCTGAAAGACGCAATGGCATGGGCCCCAGAGTTAGGTCCTGCACCATGGACACCATACTGGGGAGCACAGGGCAGAAGCCGCTCACAGGTGGCGGGCAGGTGCACAAAGTCGTACAGGCTCCTGGTGGGTGGCAGCGCTTTCTGGGTGACATCCAACTAGCTGGACCCCTAAAATTTGGAGGAACCTGTTTCCTCCTACATTCTGCCACTGCTAGAGTGTCTTCTGAAAACAGGATTTTCTTTACCTCCATTTTGAGTACATGATCAGGATTTTAACCCACTATTCTACTGGAAATACATACACTTATGAAGACTTACTAGCAAGGCCTCATTTACAACACATCTGCAGATGTGTACTTTTCACTCAAGCCTGGAAATACAAGATATCTTTGGTTCTGCAACTGGAGCAACCAGAGTCTCTGAAGAGCCTCAGAGCCTTAATCCTACTGAGCACTGGATTGTATTGCTATTATTATTCATTATTATTAGGAGAGGAGCTGGGGAAGGGAATAGAGCCTAATCTTTACAAAGGAAAGGGAGCTGGAAATCTGGATCAGAGAGGGAGTGCTGTGCAGTCTGAACAGAGGCAGAGGCTAACGGAAACAGAGATGGGAGGCAGAGAGCAGCCCTTGGGCAGATCTGCACAGAGGCCTGAAGGCCTCGGAGGCCAGTCCTGATGTGGGTGCAGAGTGAGATTCTTCCTTCTTTACGTATTGCTGTTAGCATCTGTGAAAGGCAACTGTCTGAACATGGATAACAGGCTCTCTGACATTGGCCTCACCTCACCAGATCCCTTTTTTTTTCAAATACTCTCCTTCCCACTACTCCTCTCAGTTTCAAGACTGGGCCATCCAGGACTTCTAGAGTCTGTTCCTCCGAGGACCACCCTCTCCCTGGCCATGGGGCCTGGCCTGTGCTGTTTCCTTTGCCTGGAGGCACATTTTTCACGCAAAGTCCAAAGCCCATCGCTGTGTCTCCTCTATGCCATGCATTCAGCCCGGTGCTGGGGACACAGGTGACCCAAGGAGCTGTGGTCCTGTTTCTTGCTGATTACTGGCTTGAGAGAAAAATGCCACAGACTCAGTGCCCTGCTGGGGATGCCAAGGGTGGGGAGGAGGCTCCAGGTACACATCCCACTCCTGTCCTCCAGCGACCTGGGGACCCAGAGGACTGAGCCACACAC